AAAGCATTTTAGTATATGATAATTATGTTCTGTGGACCGAATATATTTTGATTTCATTTGTGTTTTCCCTTTATTGATTTGGATTAATTTTTTTTATTGTAATCTATTTATTAATTTCTTGTGTATCATTGATTTTTTTGCTGTATGCTTTATTTTCTAGTTTAATCATTATATTATTTGTTACATATATATATAGTAACCATAGTGAGAACTCCGGGTCAGAGACATAAGTTTTTTTTGTGGCTTTATAATTATAGATGTTTAAAAACTTTGTTTAAAATTTTTGCATTACTGGTACATAAAATTCAAAGTAGTAATGGGAGTGTTCTATTGATAGAGTTTGAACTGGTTTTTTATTTGGGTATTTTTTTACCATCTAAATTAATTTTAAAAATTGCAAACAATATATTGATAGTATAGCTAACAGTATGGAGTGTAGATCAGAAAACTCTATTTAAAAAAAAAGTAATTAGAATATTTTTTTATAACATTTTTGGAAAATAATTTGAGACAGCATAGAAAATATAGTCTTGGTATATGTACAATTTTACCGACACATAATGTATTTATCAAACTTTTATTCTTTTACTTTAAAATTACAATTAGTCTTCAATTGAAATCAAAGTGATTTATAATCACAATTAAAAATGTTAATAATTAAATTAAAAAGAAGTATTTTAAAACAGTACACATGTTACCCAAATTCTGATCGGTATGTGACGCACAAGCGGAGTTGTCTTTCTTCACCGTCCGTGTAGTTCACTAAGTTATCGATCGCCTGTGGAAATTTTCATTTCTCTGTTGCCAGTTGAGCTGAGAGGATTGGAATAGTTATTCAACTTTTCTTGAAATTTTTAACAAATATATTTTGTTTATTCGAAATGGCAGATAAAGTAGAATCTCCAGCTGCACCCGCAGTTACAACTCCTAAGAAGGCGGCAACTCCTAAAGCGAAGCAACCTCGCACAAAAGCAGCTCACCCACCAGCATCCGAAATGGTAGTTGCAGCTATCACAGCTTTGAAGGAAAAAGGCGGTTCTTCTCTCCAAGCCATCAAGAAATATATTGCTGGTACTTATGCAGTTGATGTTGAGAAGCAAGCGACTTTTATCAGGAAGTATCTTAAAGCTGCTGTTGCCAACAAGACGCTTATTCAAACCAAGGGAAAAGGTGCTGCAGGATCCTTCAAATTGAATGTCGCCAAAGCTGAGGCCAAGGCAAAAACCAAGACTGCTACAGCTAAACCTAAAGCTGCTGCATCCAAGGCTAAGAAAGTAGCATCTCCGAAGAAGGCTGTAGCTGTCAAGGCCAAGAAAGCTGTTGCCGAGAAGAAAAAGACTCCTAAGGTTGCAGCCAAACCACCAAAGGCCAAGTCTACCACTGCCAAGCCTAAGGTGACCAAGGCTTCTCCCAAGAAAGCAAAGGCACCTGTTGCCGCCAAGAAAGCTGCACCAAAACCCAAAAAGACAATGGCAAAGAAGGTTGCAAAAAAATAAGGAGGGAATTTTATATTACAGTAACATTTTCACAACTCATCGATAACAAACGGCCCTTTTCAGGGCCACAAATTATTTTTTACGTAATGGTTTGTTTTGTTCCTTCAACAAATATTTTATTAAAATACAAATAAATTGCTAAATTAAACTAAGTATTATTTTATCATACAATTAAATCAAAATAAAAAATTCTTCAGAACTTTAGGGACAGCATTAATTTTTCTCCAATTATCTTCGATGAAACATTTTTTTGTTAATATTTTTTGTAGTAAATTTATTTATTCTTTCGAGGCAATATATCAGATAAATGCTGTAATTTACAAGTACATATTAAATTAATGTAACTGCACTCAAAAAATTATAATAGATTTGACTACAATTAAGTACTCTGCCTAGTACAATAGGTCCTCAACTCAATTTAAAAAGTAGAATTCACTATAAGAATTTAGTTGATAGAATGATGTTTTGCAGTTGTTTTAGTATTTTTGTAGTTGATCCAACTACAATTTTTAGTAAATTGATCAGCTAATCATTAACTCCATAAAATATATTTAGACATCAAATATCCAATTACAACATTTTAAAAAAGGTTACGCCTCCATATTTTATATTTTCCTAACACGTCCATTAATTTAAAGAAATTTTAATAAACTTCATTTACCAGTGAACAACTTCTACAAAATACAAATGATAATTTAGTTATAATTTATCTAATAGTTCATAAACATATCAAAATATTTGTAAACTAGAAGTAAAATGCTTCAAATTTATCTTAATAAATTATTTTTTATAATGTTAAACCAAAATAATTTCAACGTAAAAAAATGTGTTGGCCCTGAAAAGGGCCGATTGTGTTTGGAAGGTGTTGGAAAAAAATTAAGCACGTTCTCCTCGGATACGACGAGCCAATTGGATGTCTTTTGGCATGATGGTGACTCTCTTGGCGTGGATGGCACACAAGTTGGTGTCTTCGAAGAGACCGACGAGGTAAGCCTCGCTAGCCTCCTGGAGAGCCATCACAGCAGAGCTCTGGAAACGCAAGTCGGTCTTGAAATCTTGAGCGATCTCACGGACCAAACGTTGGAAAGGAAGCTTGCGGATGAGGAGTTCAGTGCTCTTTTGATAACGACGGATCTCACGGAGAGCGACGGTTCCTGGCCTGTAACGATGGGGTTTTTTCACTCCACCAGTTGCAGGCGCGCTCTTTCTGGCGGCCTTGGTGGCGAGTTGTTTCCTTGGTGCCTTACCACCGGTGGATTTACGAGCGGTTTGCTTGGTACGTGCCATGACGATGCTGTAAGTTCGGAGACTAACAAAACAATGAAATTTTGCGGGAAAAATGCTGTATTTATGGACTTTCGACCCTTCTGTTCAATAAGCAGCTAAAGGGAGGGGAAACTAGCAACACGATTGGTAGATTGAAATTGTGGTGGGAGAAGTGTGCCACACGATGTTATAAAATAATGCTCACTTCCCTCGAAAAGCATTCTCAGTTTGTTCTTCGTTCGAGTTTGACGTACGAACTTTATTATCTGCAAAAATGACTGGTCGCGGAAAGGGAGGTAAAGGTTTGGGAAAAGGAGGAGCAAAGCGGCATCGCAAAGTTTTGCGTGATAACATCCAAGGTATCACCAAGCCAGCCATCCGTCGTTTGGCTCGTCGTGGTGGAGTGAAACGTATCTCCGGATTGATCTACGAGGAAACTCGTGGTGTTCTCAAAGTGTTCCTTGAGAACGTGATCCGTGACGCCGTCACTTACACCGAGCACGCCAAGAGGAAGACCGTTACTGCCATGGACGTCGTCTATGCTTTGAAACGTCAAGGCCGCACCCTTTATGGTTTCGGCGGTTAAATATACACGTCATCATCATCATCTGCATACAATCGGCCCTTTTCAGGGCCACTAAATTTTTTTACGTTGGAATTCTTTTTTTTAAAGACAAAAGGGTAGTTTTCTGTTGATAATTGTTTGATTACTTGAAATTTGTTAGGTGAGCTAAGGCTGAATTTGATCTTTGAAGGTAGGAAAGTAAATAAAATTGGAAAGCAAATGTAGTTAGCTCGTTTTTATTGTACCTGAAAACATTGATTTTTTTGAGTCTACGTTGAAAAGTTTTTTGTTTTTCCTCTTTTTAATTACATATCATGTTTATGCTTTTACTAAGCTACTAAAGCATTAAATATGTAGAGGCAGCACACATTTCGGGTATGTTATGGTACGGTCACAGCTTGGCTGCCTGCCTGCAGGCAGATATCTTTTATTGTTTTTTTCTTCTAAATGAAAATATCCAGATACTCGTAAAAAGCATGAGTAATGTAAAATAATTCCTTCACGCTGTAATACATCTCAAATTCTCGTTCGAGTATCTCATTAATATAAACACTAGTCAGAATTGTCGTAAATCAAGTAAAACAGCAGAAGGAAAATTTAATCCCAAATTTTCTGTCCCTCTAAAATATAAATCATTCAAAGGACAGAAAATAATACCACTTGAAACGCTATAGAAGTTTACATTACATTTTTTTAATCCGTTTTTGGTTTTTCCCAAAGAAGGATACTGAAGCATACACCGCAATATGGTTGTCATAAAACACGAAAGACTATTTAACCTGCAATATAAAAAAGGTTCTCTTTCTCAGTACTTTTACTTACCTCTCTGAAAAAGAGCATAATATATTACATTACATTAATATACCTACATAATACCTGAAATTCTTTACAAAAAAATAGCTTAACACCGCGAGATAATTATTAAAGTAATTTATAGTTAGCAATTTAGCACAAAATGTATTATATTTTAAAACATAATGATGGAAAAAATAAATAAACTGCTTATATTGGCTTAAAAATGTTAAAGAAAATATTAATTCCTTCGTAAAAAAATTTGTTGGCCCTGAAAAGGGCCGATTGTTTTCGGAGAGATCAAGATTGATTTACTTGGAGCTGGTGTACTTGGTGACAGCCTTGGTGCCTTCAGACACGGCGTGCTTGGCGAGTTCACCAGGAAGGAGAAGCCTGACAGCAGTTTGAATTTCCCGGGAGGTGATGGTGGACCTCTTGTTGTAGTGGGCCAAGCGGGAAGATTCGGCAGCGATACGTTCAAAGATGTCGTTGACGAAGCTGTTCATGATGCTCATGGCCTTGCTGGAGACTCCAGTGTCGGGATGGACTTGTTTCAACACTTTGTAGATGTAGATGGCATAGCTTTCCTTCCTCTTGCGCTTCTTTTTCTTATCAGTCTTGGTGATATTTTTTTGAGCCTTGCCGGCTTTTTTCACAGCTTTTCCACTTGCTTTAGGAGGCATTTTGGATATTCAGAGACAAACACGTGTAAACTCAATGAGAATACGGAGTGAATTGATACTCCGACCACAAACCGGGTTCCTTTTATGTTCTGTCGCAGTGGCTATGCTACATTGTGATTGGTTCGTGCACTCGCTGTAAACGTCTACCAGTCACAGTATTGTGGTAGAAGAATAGTGGTGGGGGACCCTAATGGAAGTGCATAAATAGTCGATTTTACTGAAATTTTTGTATTAGTCATCCAACCTTTGAGTTGTTCGTTTCGTTGCTACTAAACTAAATCGAAAAAATGTCCGGACGTGGAAAAGGAGGCAAAGTCAAGGGAAAGTCAAAGACTCGTTCCAACAGAGCTGGACTTCAATTCCCAGTTGGTCGTATCCATCGTCTCTTGCGCAAGGGAAACTACGCTGAGCGAGTTGGTGCTGGAGCTCCAGTCTACCTCGCAGCAGTAATGGAATACTTGGCTGCTGAAGTTTTGGAGTTGGCAGGAAATGCCGCTCGCGACAACAAGAAGACCAGAATCATCCCCCGTCATCTCCAACTTGCCATCAGGAATGACGAGGAATTGAACAAACTTCTTTCCGGAGTTACCATCGCTCAGGGTGGTGTTCTTCCCAACATCCAGGCTGTGCTTTTGCCCAAAAAGACCGAAAAGAAAGCTTAAATTTCTACCAACATCCTCTAAAACAATCGGCCCTTTTCAGGGCCATCAAATCTTTTTTACGTGTGAATCTTGAGTTCTTTGCATTATTTTTTTCATTATAATACATACGTATTAGACGGTGGCAAAAGATTTATTACATTTGGAATATGTTGAAAGTTTTTGTTTTCCAAGCTCAATATCACTCAAATTAGATTATCTTAAAATAAGAAAAATGAAAATTAACTGAAGCTATGTAAAATTTTTAACGAACTTTTGAATGCCGTACTTTTAAGCTCTTCGCTCATTTGTGATTTATAATTTTTTGGAATATTTCGCTAGCATTATCGTATTATTAGTATGATTGTAAGATTACATCGTATAAGCCTGTAGCAATCTTATAGTGGACTCAAATTTCCGCCCCACAGTATAGGCTTCAAAAAACAAGGTGAACAAGCTAATATTGCAGTTTCTTTTTTTTTGAAACTTGGTATGTATTTTTTTGGTCGCTGATTACAAACATAAAGTTAGTTTTTAAAAGTGACACGCTGTGAAATAGGCCTGAATTATAAATAAATGAAATTAAACTTATACTTTTGTGAGAATTAAAATTCTTTTTGTACTTTGAAGCAAACCAAAGCGTTTCGATAGGAGTTAACTGAATCGGCAATAATTAAATGAATCCCACTCTAATTTTCTTAATATTGTCTCGTCACCATAACATTTTTTTATATTTATTTATGTAAAATTAATTTTTTTTAAATACATTTGTAAATAAATTATTGTTTTTAAATAAACAAATATTTGTAATCAAATATTTGTAAATAAACAATTATTTATAAATATTAAATGTATAATAAAATAATAATGTTAATAATCATAATTAATGTTAAAATATATTAAAAATGATCAATATATAAAAATTATAATATTTCTTTAAGATGTAGTGTTCTTGACATTTTGTGTTATTAAAATAAGGAAATCAACATACGGAGTCACCAACACATAGAAGAAAAGCATTAAACACTTTTCATGTCAGTGAATTATACGCACAAATTCATCGTATCGAGTGTCAAATACAGTTCCAAAATATATACATCGAAGTGTCATCATAGTTAACAAGTTAAAATATTACATATTCAGAAGTTTTCGTTAGTTACGGTCCTGCCTAAAATATACCAGAGTCAATGCGGTAATAAAAATTTTACAACTTAGAAGATATAATCTTAGGAGACCCGGTGTTCGAAAAAGGGAAAAACTTATAGAAGAATCTTCACAGATTATTTAAAGGTAACCATACCAAATATTAAAACAAAGATTTATTTGATTGTATAGAACATTTAAAATTTTTTTTAAATAAATAATTTTTATATTATATTTCTACACTGAAAAAATTTTGGTGCACCAGTTGTACTGGTTAGTTAAAATATTTTTGTACTTTAAAAACGGACATCAGTTATCCCGGTTTGGTGCAACCTATGTCCCGTACAGTGCGTCTGATGTCCCTTACAGCGCTTCTGACGCGCCAAATCAGGATAACAGTTGCCCGCAACCCATAGTACAACAGTTCTACCGTAGATTGCGCATCTGCTGCACCAAAATTTTTTCCGTGTATTCATTCGTTTAATAAACCTCTTCCCAACTTAGTTAATTTAACTAAGTTAAATTGAGGAAATTAGAATAGGGAACAATTATAAGTTAAGATTAGTTAAAATTAATATTTATTTAAAATGTGACATAACAATATCATTCCTTCTGTAGTTCCGCGAAACTGAAAAGATGATAAAATGAAGAAGATAAAATAGATTTTTGGGATTGGATATGTTGAATTGGCTTAAAGATAAAATTTTTTCTTATTTTTCAAGCTTTAACACAATTTTTGAAACAATGTCTCTTTTCTTTTTTGTATTTTATTTACTTGTGAAACGTGTGATATCGCTGCGCGTGACGTTCGGAAGTTGTCGCATTCCATATTGAGCTCATTACACTAGCGTAGTAGAAAGTATTTTGTGTGAAAAGTAAGGTTAATCATCATATTGATAATCATCATCTTGATCATGATCATTATCGGGATCACGAACATCATGTTCATTATCATTTTGATGATCATCATCATTATCATAATCATTATGTTCACCATCATCTTGATTATGATCTTCATCATCATGATCATCATCATGATAATCATAACCTTGACCATAATCATCATGATCATCATTATGATCATTATCATTATGATCAACATTATGATCATAATCATTATAACCATTAGCATTATGAGCATCATCATGACAATTATCACCCGGAACATAATCATCATCATTAAGATCATTTTCATTATGATCATTATCAACATAAACATAATCATCATCCACATCATAATCATCATATTTATGATCATCAGCATTATAATCACAATTAGTATGATCATCCTTATAATCAGCATCATTATGATCATCATCATTATAATCACAATTAGTACGATCATCCTTCTGATTACCATCATTATGATCATCATAATTCCGATCATTATCATTATGATCATCATCATGACAATAATTGTCTAGATAATTATCACTTTGAGAACGATTATCATCATCATGATCATTATCATTAGTATGATCATTATCATTAGTATGATCATTATCATTAGTATGATCATCATCAATATGATCATCATTAGTATAATCATCATCAGTATGATCATCATTAGTAGCATTATCATCACGATAATCATTAGTATAATCATCATCATGATCATTATCATGATCATCATCATTACGATCATCATCATCATCATGATCATATTCATGATAATGATGTTGATCAGGATGGTTATCATGATGGTGATCAAGATTTTCTTGATGATCATAATAATAATGATCATGATCATCATCAGTATGATCATCATCATCATCATGATAATCATCATGCTCATCATCATATTTATAATCATTATAATCATCACGATTATGATTATAATTAGTATGATCATCATCATGATCATCATCAGTATAATCATTATTATGATTATCATCAGTATGATCATCATCATGATCACCTTTAGTATAATCATCATCATGATCATCATCAATATGATCATCATTATTATAATCATCATCAGTATGATCATCATTAGTAGCATCATCATCACGATAATCATTAGTATAATCATCATCATAATCATCATCAGTATAATCATTATTATGATTATCATCAGTATGATCATCATCATAACCGTCATCATGATTATCATTACGATCATCACCAACCTAATCATCATCCTCATGATGATTATATTTATGCTCATTATTATTATAATCTTTAACATCATGATCATCATTATTATGATCACCATCATCAATGATGATTATTGGTATAATCAATATGCCAATCATTATTATAAACATCATTCTGATCATCATCATGACAATAATTATAATGATAATTATCGCATTGATCATGCTTATTGTATATTGGTGTATGATTGGTGATCATGATGGTGATTAAGATGATGATGATCATACTGATGATGATCATGATAATGATCTTGATGATAATGATGATCTTGATGATGAACATGACGATGATCATAATGTTGTTAATCATACTAATGATGATCATGATGATGATCATACTGATGATCAGAATGATGATTATAACCATCATCATTAGTATAATCATCTTTAGTATGATCATCTGTAGTATGATCATTATCATGATCATCATTAGTAGGATTATCATAATTACGATCATTATCAACATCATGTTCATCAGTATGATTATCAACAGTATGATCATCGTCATGATGATCATCATCATCTTGATCATCAGTATGATCATCATCATCTTGATCATCAGTATGATCATCATCAAGATGATCATTATTATAATTATTATCATAATCATTATTATGATCATCATCATTACGATCATCACCAACCTAATTATCATCCTCATGATGATTGTATTTATGATCGTTATCATTATAATTATTAGCATTATGATCATCATCATGATCATCATCAGCATGATTATTATCAGCATGATCATCATCATCATCATAATCATCATCAGCATGATCATCATCATTATTATCATCATGATAATTATCAACTTGGTCATGACCATCATCATCATCATCATCATCATCATCATCATCATCATTATGATGAATTACGATCATCATTAGTATAATCATCATCATGATCATTATCATTATCATGATCATCATTAGAAGTATTTTTATCATTACGATCATAATCATCATGATCATAATGATGATCTTGATGGTGATCATGATTGGGATCAAGATGTTGATGATGATCATGGAGCCTGTACTTTCAGGTTATGTGGGGATGACCGCTCTTGTTCTGTTCGACCCACTAAAAACCACACCATTTTTGAGACTTTAACCTCCTCCTGTAGTCCTCCTTCGTCCTCATTAAAGTTGTAATGAAGGACTCGACGCTCCTTTAAGAGTCCGCGCTCTGCAACATAATAGAAATCATGTTCTCGGGTGTGACTTTAGTGCCCATAGCCGAGAACATGGCTTGCCTGAGTTCACGCCAGTGCCCGCAGAAAAAGATCGTGTGCTCCGCGTCGTCAGTATTTATTGCTTTGTCGACACCCGAACCGTTGCAATACACTCATCTCGCTTCTGCTTCTATTTTAGATCGATAAAAATACTGTCCGAAACAACCATGACCTGACAACGCTTGTGTAAGGTAGTAGCCAACTTCACCGTGTTTCCTATTTAACCATGTGGCGAGGAGGGGAATCAGGCGGTCGGTCCACCCACCTTTAGACTCCCCATCCCATCTCCCCTGTCATTTCTGAACGAGTCTACTTCTGGACTCTCTGCGTATTATCGCTTTGAGTCTATCGTTATGCTCTAAAGTACCCGCCAGATCTTTGTTAAGATGGAAGATCTCCTTCCTTTCCGTCGCCAATAAATCCATTGGCGGTAGTCCAGCGAGTACCAGAACAGCGCAAGTAGACACCGTTCTGAAGGCTGACACAATTCACCGTGCCGGGTCCTTCTGGACCGCCAGGAGCCGGTTAGAGATGCTGTGAAACTTTAGGGCCGAAGCCCAAACAGCGGCAGCATAAAGCTGCTTTGATTAACCCACAGTCGCCACTAGTCTACGTTTCTTTTCCCTGGGGCCAGCGATATTGGGCATCATCCTCGAAAGGTTTCCCATGCATTCGGTGGCTTGGAGTGACGAGATGTTAATATGTTTGCCGAAACTCAAACGTTTGTCCAACGTCACTCCCAGGTACTTCAGTTTTGTCCCCCATGAAACTACACATCCTCCAATTTCCAACCGCGGGAATCGGAAGTCTCTCCGGTCTGTGACGAGCAGAGCCTCGGTTTTTTCGACAGCCATTTTCAGGGCATGTCGGTCCAACCAAAACACTATTCGTCGCAGACTATCATCGAGTTTTATCTGTAAAAGATTTATCTCGTCCGCACAGCACACCAAATCACGTCATCCGCGAACCCGGTTAGAAACGTATCTTCCAGTAAGTCCAACCTCAGGAAACCGTCATACATGACGTTCCATATGGTTGGACCTACCTTCGATCCTTGGGGAGCTCCGCATGTCATCTCTTCTTTGATATGACATGCATCGCTTTCGTACACAACCCATCTATCGCTAAGATAATCATCTATCATTCGCAACAGATAGGTTATGATCATCATCATTATGATCATCATCATGACCATCAATATCATGATCATCATCATCATCATCATGACCATTGTCAGTATTATTATTTTTGTCAATGTTGATTTTATTATCATTTATAACATATGCAACATTTCCATGCTTGCCCTTGTCTCCTTTCTTATCAATATCTTAATTTTTTGTTACCTTTTCAGATTTTTAAACTTTCAATATGGATAAACGTTACCTCTGGGAAGTCATATATAGATACAAATATAGATAGAAATGAAAAGTGTATTGGTGTATAATGAATTGTGGTCATACGTTGATGGCACAGATGCGAGACCGAAGGGGGATGCGGCTGATTGGGTCAAGAAAGACGCGAGAGCCTTGGCGTTGATAAATTTGTGTGTGTCGAGCAAGCAGTTAAATCCTGTGAAAAGGGCGACTACATCATCGGAAAAAATTACATATTTTTTAATTTGTTAATTTATTTATTTACTATTACTTTTAATCTATATGCGCCAGTTTACACAGCCCCACAAACAAAAAAAGTGTCGTGCGCGGCAGACCAGACTAGTCATATCCTATGTATTTTGACGCGCTGAACACGAATCCGAAGTCCGTTTTGCTCCATCACGTCAGGATTTTTTTCTAACCTCCAAAAACCTGTCGGATTTTGAGAAATAGGCTATTTTTTTAAAAAATTGATGGATTTACTTCAAACTTGGTATCTAGGGGTTTTTTGGGTCGCTGATGACGAATTTGAAGTTAGATTTTCAAAATTCAAAGTGGCGGCTCCAATATGGCGGATGAATTTTGTAAAAATTGATGGATTTACTTCAAACTTGGTATCTAGGGGTTTTTTGGGTCGCTGATTACGAATCTGAAGTTAGATTTTCAAAACTAGAAATGGAAATTCTTATATACATAAGTAAGGTATTCACGTCTTTTTATGGTAGCGCACTCTTTTGTCCTCAAAGGATCTGTGTAATGGTTTTCTTTTCAAATTGGTGCCTCCAGGTACAATATCCCTTTTCAGCATCCAACAGTAGTCGGCCATCATATTTACATCCCATCTTCCTTGATAACGACGCTCAAATTCTTTCAGATCTTGATGGAATCGTTCTCCTTGTTCTTCACTGTAATCTCCCAAATTTTCAGGGAATTGATCCCGATGCGAGTCTAAGTAATGCAACTTTATGCTCATTAAGCATCCTAACTTACCAAAGTTTTTAATCATATCACTAACTATTTGCTCCCAATTTTCACTCTTGTGATTACCCAGACAATTTTCGACAACTGCTTTAAAACTAAGCCATGCGTCTTTCTCCTTTTTATTCATCTTGGTGATAAATTGCTCATTTTTTAACAATTTGCGAATACGTGGTCCGTCGAAAACCCCTTCTTTTAGTTTCGCATCAGAGATTTCTGGAAACTTTCGTTCCAGGTATTTGAAACAGTTTCCTTTTTTATCTAAGGCTTTGACAAACTGTTTAATTGCTTCTAGTTTCGTGTATAAGGGCGGAATTATCACCTTTGAAGGGTCGATATCGTCCGCCATATTGGAGCCGCCATTTTAAATTTTGAAAATCTAACTTTAGATTCGTAATCAGCGACCCAAAAAACCCCTAGATACCAAGTTTGAAGTAAATCCATCAATTTTTACAAAATTCATCCGCCATATTGGAGCCGCCATTTTGAATTTTGAAAATCTAACTTCAAATTCGTCATCAGCGACCCAAAAAACCCCTAGATACCAAGTTTGAAGTAAATCCATCAATTTTTTAAAAAAATAGCCTATTTCTCAAAATCCGACAGGTTTTTGGAGGTTAGAAAAAAATCCTGACGTGATGGAGCAAAACGGACTTCGGATTCGTGTTCAGCGCGTCAAAATACATAGGAAATGACTAGTCTGGTCTGCCGCGCACGACACTTTTTTTGTTTGTGGGGCTGTGTAATTAATAAATATGTTATTTATTAAATTCAAATTTTGATTTATTTGAATCAAAAAATTATTACATTTTTTTCAAATGAATTATGTATTAGGTTCAAATAAAATAATAATAGCCACAATTAAAGAGGTTTTAGTTTCAATTATGTAAGACCATTACTTATGATAAATAATCGAATATTTGATTTAAGAAAATTTTTAATTGTTTCAAGAAAAATATTTTATTAACGGAAATAAATATTTATTTGAATCAAAAAACAAATAATTTTCATAATTGATTCAAATAATTATTTATTAGCTTTGAATATTTCATTTATTTGATTTGAATACACAGAAAATTAAAAGGCATTAAAATAACCGTTGCAGCTTATTTTAATGCCTTTTAATTTTCTGTGTACTT